AGTGGTATTAGTAATCGTAGTAGTAGTAGTAGCAGTAGTAGTAGTAGTAGTAGTCGTAGTAGTAGTAGTAGTAGTAGTAGTAGTAGTAGTAGTAGTAGTAGTAGTAGTAGTAGTAGTAGTAGTCGTAGTAGTAGTAGTAGTAGTAGTAGTAGTAGTAGTAGTGGTAGTAGTAGTACTAGTACTAGTACTAGTACCAGTACTAGTGCTAGTACTAGCAGCGGTGGTGGTTGTGGTAGCATTCGGTAGTAGTCGTAGTAGTCGTAGTAGTAGCCGTGGTAGTCGTTGTAGGAGTAGCACTCGTAAGAGTAGGGGTAGTACTAGTAATAGTAGTAGTGGTGGTAGTAGTAGTAGTAGTCGTTAATGTAGTCATAGTACTCGAGGAGGAGGATAAGACTAATCAGTGTAAACTCAAGACGCATCAATGATGTTGCATTCAACCCTCCGCCCGAATTCCCTTTCATACGGTCCTGGTCCTATTCTTGGCGTGTAGTTTGAAGTTCGCCTATACACGCCATGTGCTCCACACGAAGCGTGTCTCCTGCGTGGTTGGTTCTTGGCGTGTCTCGGAGGGCTGTTCCACCCGACCCTACTTAGCTCGTCTGCCCCTTCGCTGCTTAGCGTGTCAACGCTTTCGGTTTCGCAGGGCCCGAAATCACATACACGCTAAGAATAGGACTATGGCTGTATGTCCCCGCAGGAGTTTGTTCACATTGCGGGAGTTGACCCATTGGTAAGCAATGGTCTAACAATCTTCGATCTTTCTGAAACGCAATTGATGGGACTTCAGCGCCGCGAATCGACGTGGCCGTTTCGGCCTGACAGCCCTAAATCGTGCTAGGACACCGTTCCTGGGACTTCAACTATTCGAAACAATGTGACTGTTGCGTTCTGACAATCCCGAGTCGTGCCAGAACGCCGTTCCTGGGGCTTCAGCTGAACGACGCCTTGAAACTTGTGCAATCTTGGCAAGCGAGTGTGCCAGGCGCGAAGGCGAGAGCCACATGTAAGGAACCGCTCGCCATCCTTGTAACTTTCTCAAGCCAACGTGCGCGGCGCGAAGGCGAGAGCCACATTTTTGAAAGAGGACCCGCCCTCCGCCCTTGAAACAGTGGTACACGTTACAAGACGAGTGCGCGCGGCGCTAGGGCGAGAGCCATCTTTTGAGACAGGACCGGCCCTGCATTCATGGAAATACTGCGAGCTTTGGAATCGAACGACTGTGCGCTGCGGGTAGTGGCCAGAGCCACATTTAGAAAACGGCTCGCCCTCCGTCTGCGAAACTGCTGCAAACTCTTAGGACGAACGTGAGCGGCTCTCTCGCCCCCGGGCCGCTCTGACCGGGGTGGCCGGCTCCCCCCTTTTCCGGGTCGCCCCCGGCTCGTTTCCCGGCGGGGCCGCCGCCAATTGCAGTGGAGCTGCTGCCCTTGAACACATAACACACCGACTGGTTTTGATTCGCCTCTTCCCATCTCTCTCTCTCTCTGTCTCTCTCTCTCTCTCTCTGTCTCTGTCTCGGCCACGTGCAGAGGGGGGTAGGGAGAGGGGGGAAGGCTTCTTAGAAGCACCCCTGCTTCTTGGAAGGCGCGGGCCTTGTCTGTAGCTGTGAGGCCTGCGCCTTCTACGAAGCAGCCTCCTTCTGAGAAGCCTTCCCCCCTCCCCCTACCCTCTAGTGTGCGCCGCCAATATTCTTATATATGTATATATGTATATATATATATAGATCTGTCTCTCTCTGTCGGTCTCTCTCTCTCTCTGTCTCCGCTCTGCCGCCTTCCTTGCGTTCGGGGCCTGGGTTTGATTCTCTCGCACGCGTTGCTGCACCGGTTTCACTTGTTTTTGGCGCTGTCTTTGTTTCTGACCCTGCTTCCTTCTCCTCTCCTTTTTTTTTTTTTTTCTGTTTCTCTCCCTCTCTCTCTCTCTTTCCCGGCTGTGCTGGTTTTGTAATCGTGGCCGCCTGGGCCACAGGGGTGTTCACACAATGTCGTAGTTCATATTCCTCGGACACGGGTCCGTGCTGAGGCTCACAGTTTTGCCATTGCACTCTTCTGGGGCCGCCCAGCGTTTTTTTTAATCACATTTATTCCTGGTCGGACCTTTGCGTGTCTTCATTGCCTGCATGTCCCCGGAGTATCCGAGTGTGCTATTGATTTTCAGCGACACGTCTGCGACGGCGGCTTCTTGCCACGGCGTCTCAGCCTGTCCATCGTGCACTGGCGGCTCCCTCGCTTGACAACTTCTGGATGGGTGTTTTGCGCCCCGCTGTGCAGATCTGCACTCCGCTGGCACCTGGGCCGCAGCACGCCGCTTCAAGACCTACGTGGTTTGAGGGGGCCGCCTTCCTCTCTTCCCCTTCCCTCCGAGGGCGCCACTCGCCGCCTCCCCGCCCTCCGGTGCGCTCTGCAGCTGCCCTGCCCTCCCCGACGGACCTCGTGCGATCGCCGAGTCCCCGACCAACCAAAAAAACGTTTGCACCGGATCAGGATCTCGCCCTCGGTCGGCCTCCGTCCCGGCAGGGCCGTCCCCGAGGCTCGCGGCATGTTGGGCCGCTTCCAGCCCCCAGCTGCTCCTCCGATTCCTCCTCGATCCTCCTGTTCCACCTCCACCTCCTGGGCCCCCTTCTTCCTCTCCACCCCTCCCCCTCCTCCTCCTCCTTGCTCCTCCTCCTCCTCGCTCCTCCTCCTCCTCCTCCGCCTCCTCCTCCTCCTCGTCCTTCCCCTCTTCTCCTCCTCCTCCTCCTCCTCCACAATTACTCAATATGAAAATACTCTCCCTCTTCCCCTGATGGCGGTTGGGTGATCGCCGACCCCCCCCCCGCGTATTGTTTTCTTACACACAGGATTCCCGGGAAACGGGTTTTCGCCTGCGTTTTTTTTTTTTTTTTTTTTTCTTCCAAAATGCTGCTCTCGCTGAGGCGTCGGCCTCATTTCTGCTCCCGAATCGTTCCGAATCGTGCTCCCGCTGCAGCGTGGGCCTCATTTTCGGATCGGTGTTTGTCCTACGTCGTTCAGGATGGCGTTCTCGCCCCAGCGCGGGCCTCTTTCTCGCGCGCCCATCCGCCCGCCACCACTGCGCCGCACCACCACCACCACCACCACCACCACCACCACCACCACCACCACCATCACCACCACCACCACCACCACCACCACCACCACCACCACCACCACCACCATCACAACCACCACCAGCACCACCACCACCAGCACCACCACCAGCACCACCACAACCACCACCAACACCACCACCACCACCACCACCTTCCTCCTCCTCCTCCTCCTCCGCCTCCTCCTCCTCCTGCTCGTCGTCCCCCCTCCTCTCTCCTCCCTCCTCCTCGCCCTTCTTGCCCGCTTTCTCCTCCGCCCCCTCGTGCCTCCGCACGCCTCCCCCCCTTCTCCCCGCCACCCCCCTGACTTTGGCGTCACCCAAACATACTAATGCTATGTTTGCGTCGCCCCCCCCCCAGGGGCGACGCGCGCGCCGAGAAATCTTACAGTGTCAGCTCCGTAGCGGGCGCTTTCTGGCCATACCGCTAGGGAAGTTATATACGACAGTATTGTCATACTGTATATCCCGGGTCGGGCGCACTCCTCTGAGACGGGGACACATCTCTTTCGTATGCCCTTCTGCGTCCCATGACCCCCCACCCGCCCCTGAAGGTCTCCATTGAGGCCGCCACCGCTCCCGCGCCCGAGTGGTCCGCTGCACAGCTGGCGGGCCTGACGCCAGATGCGGATGGAGTGCTGGCCCGCCGGGTCCCTCCGCGCCGCCACGGCCGCCGCCCCCGCGCCGACGCTTGGGCTGGCGCGGAGGAGAAGGAGGAGGAGGAGGAGGAGAAGGAGGAGGAGGAGGCGGAGGAGGAGGAGGAGGAGGAGGAGGAGTAGCGAGGAGGAGTAGCGAGGAGGAAGAGGAGGCGGAGGACGAAGAGGAGGAGGAGGAAGGGGGAGGAAGGGGGAGGAGTATGAGTCATTGGTGCACCGCCCAGACGGCTGGAGGGAAATAGTCAACCAGCTGCGCTTCGTCGAATCATTTTGTGACACGCGTGGGCATGTGAACGCGAGGCCAGTGAATGTAGGCAACTTCCAATTTTGTTTGCCATGCGTGCCATGGGCGCGCCTTTGGCACGTCTCGGGCGTACCGACACCACATGAGGTCCAGGCACGGCTCACGGCACCCGGTGCGGTGGCTCGCACGTGCCGACGCGACGTGCCTGTCGTGTCGCACGACATTTTCCATGAGATTTCGATTGATCGCGCATCTGTCGAGATCTGGCACATGACCGACCCGGTGCAGAGGCCGGTTCAGCGGCGGGCCCAGGGGGGAAATGAGAAGGAGCAGGCCTTCTCAGAAGGCCGCGGGACTTCTCAGAAGTCCAGGGGACTTCTGAGAGGTCTCCTTAGCCTATTTCGAATACAGACTGAACTTCTCAGAAGCCCTCTCAGAAGTCCAGAAACTTCTCAGAAGCCTCGGAAGCCCCGCCCCTTCTCATTTCCCCCCCGCGCCCGCCGCCGACCGGTGTCTTGCCAGTTGCCGCCCCGTGACGCAGGCAGAAAAACTGACGCGTTGGACGCAGCAGACGCGCGACGGGTCGCGCAGCCGTCCGGGCGGAAGCACACCCAGGGAGCAGCAGTGCAGCTGTCAGACCTGCCGGTCGGAGAGCGGGGCGCGGAGGTCCTTTCGATGCGATCGTTCTCGCTGGCTCTGCGCCGCGTGCCGCGTGCCGCCGGCAACAACATGGATCGAGGCGCGCGGATTGGAGACGGGCCCGCTTCCGCGCGGAAGCGGCGCGCCCCGTCGCCACGTCGGGCAGCCCGGGCCCCGTGCTTCGGGAAGGGGCCTCGCCTGGTCCGTGGATGCTGCGCTCACGCGCAAGGCGTCGGGGCATTCACCGCAGACCTCTTCAGGAGGCAAGTTGCCCTAAGTCAAGCCTGTCGGCTGGCCCGCCTCCGCCTGCCCTGGCCCTTTTCGGGCCCCCCGTTTTTGTTGTATTGGAGGGCTCCTCCTTAGTGCCTTTAGGGCCCGGCTTTCGCTTTCACTTTCCCATTTCGCTGAGAGAGCTGGTCACCCCGTGCCTGCCGAGTGGTTTGAGGGAGCGGGAGTCTGTGGCTGCCTGCCATGCCTAGCGTGGCGAAAGCCCCGCCGCCCCATCACCATCACATGTGTTTTCGGATTTTGTGCTGATGGCCTGTGCCCGTTCTGTGGTGGCCCCGGCTCTTTCTTGGCACCGGGCTGCTCTGTGTTGGAAACTTGATGTGTGCGAAGCTCGAGAGGATCACTTTGGCCAATCGGTCATCCAGATGCTGGCCCATCGTCCCTCCTCGTCGGTCGAATGTGGGCTCGAGCCATCCTGCGTCAGACTGGGATCTTGGATTTTTCAGACGGTGCAGGCCAGCCTACTGGCCCGTTCTCTTTTTCTCTCCCCGTGATGCTCGCGCTACAACGGGGAGTGGGAGGAGATGTCGCGGGGGGGCTGCGTTGTTGTTCAGATGGAATGCGAGTTTTGTGTCCGAGTGATTTACTGCCCTCTGCCTGACGAATTCGACTGGACTAGCAGTATTTCAGACTTCGCTGCGCTTGCCCTTGCCGTGTTTCGGCGTGAGGTGTCTGAGCCAGGAGAGGTGCCCAACCATTTGTCGTCGATTGCAGCTTATTGTTTTCGGTCGTTCAGAACCCTTCTAAAGTTTTGTCTGGTTCTTATAAGTGTAGTTTCTTCTGGAGGGAATTGAGTAGGCGTATTGGCCACTCTCCCTGGGTCTCGCTTCGTATGGCCAAGGCCCACCACACTGTTTCTGCAATCATGTCTGCTGATGGGAAATCCCTGATCGCTGGATCTACGGCTGGGTATCGGTGGGCGAAGCAGGGTGCTTTTTTACATAACTTGTCTATGGGAGAGCTGGGGAGCTTTCGCGCCGCGCAGGTAGAGTACAGGTTGTTGAGCTCTGGCGTTCTTGCACTGCTTTCGTGTTTTTCGTCCATTGTAGCTTAGTATGGGAAGCTTTCGAGGCCCCAGGTCGCTCCCAGGGTTCAGACCCCCAGGAGCCTCCATACTCTTGTGCACCATGGGGACTGCCACAGGTGCTGCATTCGTTGCCTTCGGCTTGTCAGTCCGTCCACCTCCCCATGCGAGGACTCGAAGCCCACGTTGACCACCATTCTGTTTGGGGGGCTAGGGAACACCGCAGTCTCCAGTGGGCTCGTGAGGTGGAGTCGGACCAGCCTGCCATTTGTTGTCTTTTGTGCGGTGGTCTTGTTTCCTGTGATGGAGGTGGGAAGCTCCGCAGAGCGTGCACCAACCCCAAAAAGAGCTTGGAGCTCTCGAAGCTCCCCAGAGGGTTGGTGCCTGGGACCAACACCAGGCTTGGCCAGTCCTTTCCCCTTTCCTCGCTTCCCTCCTTTCCCCTCCCTCCTCCCTCCGCCTCTGTCCCTGTCTCCTCTGAGTGTGCCATACCTGCGAGAGTTTCCCATGTCCTTGCTGTTGGCTGTCCATTGGAGCAGCCGGGTCGCTGAGCCGCTGAGAAGGAGGATGAGGAGGAGGAGGAGGAAGAGGAAGAGGATGACGAGGAGGAGGACGACGGCGACGAGGACGAGGACGAGGACGAGGACGATGAGGAGGACACTTGGGAAGATGACGAGGAGGGGGGAGGAGACCGGCAACCCAGCTGAGGGTGCCAACGAGCCAGGATAGACAGGTGGAAGAGGAGGATAAGGATGATTCGGGCGACTCAGATGAGAGCGACAACGAGCGAGCAGTTGCCACGTATGGTGGGGCAATGAAGGGGAAACTCCGTAACTCCTTCCAGGACAAGGAGCTGGGGAGGCTGAGTAGAAGGAAGAGAAGGAGGGGGATGATGATGATGAGGAGGAGGAGGAGGCGGAGGACGATGATGATAATGATGATGCTGATGATGATTATGCTGCTGATGATTATGAGGCTGATGGTGATGGTGATGAGGATGAAGATGAGGATGATTACGATGATGATGAGGAGGAGGGCAGAGGTGAGGAGGATGAGTAGGAGGAAGAGAGGGAAGGGGGATATGATGAGGAGGATGTAAATCATGATGATGATGATGCTGATGATGCTGATGGTTATGATGAGGCTGATGGTGATGATGATGCGGATGAAGATGAAGATGGTGAGGATGAGGATGACGATGGTGATGATGATGGTGATGCTGATGATGATGATGATGATGATGATGATGATGATGATGATGATGCTGATCATGCTGATGATGATGACGATGATGATAATGATGATAATGACGATGCTGATAATGCTGATGATGCTGATTATGGTGATCATGATGATGATGCTGATGATGCTGATGATGCTGATGCTGCTGATTATGATGATTATGATGCTGCTGCTGATGATGGTGGTGGTGGTGATGACTGTGATGATGCTGCTACTGATGTTGCTGCTGCCGATGATCATGCTTATGATGATGATGACGATGCTGATGCCGCTGATGCTGCTGCTGCTGATGATTCTGATGATGCTGCTGCTGATGCAGATGCTGATGCTGATGCTGCTGTTGCTGCTGCTGATGATTACTATGATGATGATAATGCTGATGATGATACTACTGATGCTGATGATGACGATGATGATGCTGATGATGAAGATGATTATTTTCGATGGTCATGACGACGACAATGATGATGATGATGATGTTGCTGATGACGATGCTGCTGATGATGATGCTGATGCGGATGCTGCTTCGGACGATGATGCTGATGATGATGCTGACGCTGATGCTGATGCTGATGATGATGAGGAGGAGGATGCTTCTACTGATTCTGCTTATGCATATGCACATGAAGATGCGGATACTGATGCTGATTATCAGATGTATGCTCATGCTGAAGACGATGACGATAACGATGGAGATGTGGATGGTGATGACGACGATGCTGCTGCCGATGAAGATGATGTTGATACGGATCATGGTAATAACGAGGGTGATTAGGAGGAGGATGAGGAGGAGAGTAATGATGATGAACCTGATGATGCACAAGAGGAGGGAGAAGATCTAGAGCGTGCGGCAATGGTGTGCGATTGGGCGTGAGTCGGCGGTCAGCCTTTGGGGGGGGGGAGCGAGAAGGGGCGGGCCTTCCCGGCAGGCTCGGAAGTCCCCCCAGCCTCTTGAGAAGTCTCCCGAGCTTCCCCCGGAGACGCCAGCACAGTTCTCAGAAGGCCGGAGGCCTTCTTTTGAGGCCCCGCCGCCCTCTGAGAAGGCCTTCTCCTTCTCGCTTCCCCCCCTCGCTCGCCGCCGAGTCAGCGACAGAGGCGTGCCGACGCTCGGCGCGGCCCAGGTCTCCGCCCTCCCTGGCGTCGCCGAGGAGAGCGGCGGCGGCGCCGAGCGGGCCCAGGAGGACCTCCTCCTGCCAGTTGCCCGCCCTCCCTCCATCGTCCTCGTCGTCGTCCTCGTCCTCCTCGTTCTCCCTCGTTTTCCTCGTCCTCGTCCTCGTCCTCCTCGTCCTTCCTCCTTCCCTACCCCTTCCTCGTCGTCGTCCTCCTCCTCTCAGAGCGTGAATTACCTACCCCGCTTTCGCTTCCAGGCAAAACCAAGTCATACCACGCGCCTCCTCGTCAAGCGGCATGACCAGTACAGGCCGTAGTTTGGCATCGCTTGGTATCGCTTGGAAGCGAGGGTGGTCAAAAGCGAGGTAGGTCTGTTTGCCCCCTATCCTCCTCCTCCTCCTCCTCCCCCTCCTCCCCTCCTCCTCCTCCTCCTCCTCCTCCTCCTCCGCCTCCTCCTCCTCCCCCATCCCCCGCGCCCCTCCTGGGCCCCAGCCCAGCGGTGCGTGGCGTGTGGTGTTTCTCGGGCGCCGGCGGGCCCTGTGCCTGGTGAGTGGCACCTCGGGTGGGGAGGAGGAGGAGGAGGAGGAGGAGGAGGAGGAGGAGGAGGAGGAGGAGGAGGAGGAGAGAGGAGGAGGAGGAGCGGAGGAGGAGGAGGAGGAGGAGCGCGGAGGAGGAGGAGGAGGAGGAGGAGGAGGAGGAGGAGGAGGAGGAGGAGGAGGAGAGGAGGGAGGAGGAGGAGGAGGAGGAGGAGGAGGAAGGAGGAGGAGGAGGAGGAGGAGGAGGAGGAGGAGGAGGTGGAGGAGGAGGAGGAGGAGGAGGAGGAGGAGGAGGAGGAGGAGGAGGAGGAGGAGTAGGGGAAGATGTTCTCCTCGGATGGCCCCCCCCCTTCCCCGTTCTCCCTCCCTCCCCCCTCCCCCTCCGCGCTGGCCTCCTTGATCAGGTCGCGAATACAGGCGAGAAGGCACGAGGCGGTGGAGGAAGGTAAAGGACGCAGGAGGGACAAGAGGGGAATCGAGGAGCAAGAAGAGCAGCCATCAGATAGCGCCCTACGCGCCGCCACACTGGTCGTCCTGGGCAGGCTGCCCCCCCCCTCGGACTCTATCCCTCTACGTATGGGCAGTGAGTCGGCGGCGAGCGAGGGGGGGAAGTAAGAAGGGGCGGGCCTTCTCAGAGGGCTCGGAAGCCCCCCCCCAGCCTTCTGAGAAGTGTTCTTCTAAGCCTTCCCCGAAGGCACGGAACACCTTTCAGAAGGCGCGAGGGCTTCAGGGAAGCCCCGCCGCCTTCCGAGGAGGCCTTCTCCTTCTGATTTCTGCGGGCACGATTTATAGCCATATCCACCGCGTCGTGGACTTTGTGCGAAGGGGCACCAACAGGCCGCGGCGCAGTGGATATGGATATAATATTTGACCTCTAGGGGCGGATTTTTTTTCATCCGTGTCCACAGCGTCTGTGGTATCGGAGGAAGGGAGCCCGAAACTCCAAGACGCAGTGGATGTACATATATATGTATATATATATACATATGTATATCTTAATGTTTCCTCGAAGAGCGGCCTGTGGGGGGACAGGCCCGACCCAACGCTACGCCCTACCATCGGTCGGTGAAGGTAAGCATTCGTGGAGTCCCAGATCCCTGTCTTCGTCCAGCGCCGTCCTACTTTAAGAACAGATGTGCGCGTTCTGTGTTCTGTTATTTTCTGGGAGGGCCTGAGCCCCACTCTGTCGAGCCCGCCTTCCTACTGCACGTGTTTGCCTACCTCTTCCGACCGACGTGGTGTAATCCACCGAGGACGAACAGAAACGGCATCACCGCTCGGAGGCATCCACGGCGAAACTCTCGGAGCTCCGCGTGGAGGTTCCGAGCGTCTGTGCGTCTGCAGCTTTTCCCTTGCCTCCAGTTTGGTCTGCAGCGCCTCTCAGTCTGACCGAACACTGACACTGTGGGGCAATCATTCTCCGCGGGTCGCCAGAACTGCTTGCTGACAGAGCCGCGCCGGTGTTCGGCGCGGGGGCCCTGGGGCCCGTGAGCGCCCCCCCTCCCCCCGCGCAGTTTGTGCCTATGCAGCTTTCTCCTTGCCTTCAAGTCAGTCCGCAGCCCCTCCTTCAGGTGCTGCTGCTGCTGCCCGGTCTGCTGCTGCTGCTGCTGCTGCTGCTGCTGCTGCTGCTGCTTGTGCTGCTGCTGCTGCTTGTGCTGCTGCTGCTGCTGCTGCTCATGACCGCAGCCCCGCCTCGTGCTGCTGCGGCTCCTTCTCCCCCTCCTTGTCCTCCTCCTCCTCCTCCTCCTCCTCCTCCTCCCTCTCCTCCGCCCTCTCCGTCCTCCCTCTCCTCCTTGTCCTCCTTCTCCCCCTCCTTGTCCTCCTCCTCCTCCCTTTCCTCCCCCGCCCTCTCCGTCCTCCCTCGCCTCCTTGTCCTCCTACCCCTCCTTGTCCTCCTCCTCCTTTCTGACGTTGCGCGGACCTGAAGCACGGGCTTGCGGCGTTAATGCGATGGAGACATCAATCGCCGACTTAGGCGAAGAAACAACAAGTTCTTGACGCTTCACGTATCCTCACCAGCTCATCCAAAACCGACGCCCAGGCGAGTTGAGACGATCATGGAAGTGTAGGAGCAAAAAGGGGGACAGCTGTCATCGCTCGAGGGAGGAGCATGGATGAGTGAGGAGGGAGAAGGATGATCAATTTGCTGATGAGGAGGAGAGGGAGGAGGAAGAGGAGGTGGAAAAGGAGGAAGAGGAAGTGGAGGATGAGGGCGAACATAATGATTAGACGATTCTTGGATGCCTCTCGGCGTCCCCCAGAATACCTCTTGAGCGCTTGTATGCTCCTTTGATCGTCTTGGGAACGTTGTGGCGGTTCCGAAAGAAATCTCTTAGAAGGGTTTTTTGAGCTCAGGCAGCGGGTGACACCTGTGGCACTGACGGAGATAACCCCAAAACCGTGACTGAACCTAGTGTTCAGGGGATGGCTTTTTGAGCAGCATGCGCAGAGGTTTGGAGTGGGCCAGCAAGGCATGGTTCTGGTTCAGGCCTAGAATTAGGCTGGACATGCACAGGAAAGGATGCGTATATGGAGTGCAGAGGAAAGCAAAAGGGATTCGGCCGTACCCGCGAGGAGGAGCAGACTGTGCTCGCCAAGCACCACGTCCGCGAGAAGGCTCCGCTCCAGCTGTGTCGATGGACCCAGCCAGGGCAGCATGAGGATGACGACGAGGAAGCGGAGTGGGATGATGATGAGGGTGCTCTCCAGGACAGACTTCTGCGTCAGCGCGGCTCCTGCTCCAGAGCCAGACCTCCAGTTTGCCCGTGTGGGCGTTCGTCCGGGCCCATGCTGAAGTCTGCCTCTGCCCCGCAGAAATCGAACTCACTCGAACGGGATTCCTTACCACGCCATGAGATCTGGCATTGCCATATGAGCCTTCAATTCATGCGCTCGTTTATCTTGGAGGCTCACTCTATTATGCCGACCCTCCATGAGAGAGCACTCGCGACAATGTCCTGGGGTACTCATGATCGCAGGAGGGTCCATCAAGATAATCAGGTGGGTGATGATAATTATGATGCTGATGTTGGTACTGTTGATGATGCAGATGATGTTGATGCTGATGTTGATACTGATGATGCTGCTGCTGCTGCTGCTGATGATGATGATGATGATGATGGTAATGGTGATGACGATGCTGCTGATGGTGATGATGAAGATGATGCTGATGCTAATGCTGGTGTTGATTATGATGCTGAGGATGCTGCTGATGATCATGGCGATGTTGATGCAGACGATGCTGCTGCTGCTGATACTGAGGATGCTGCTGATGATGATGATGAGGAGGATGATTATGATGCTGATGATGATGATTATGATGATGGTGATGGTGATTGTGATGATGATGATGATGATGATGATGATGCTGATGATGATGATGATGATGATGATGATGATGATGATGATGATGATGATGATGGATGATGCATGATGATGATGATGATGATGACGCTGACGATGACGAAAACGATGACGATGACGATGATGGTGATGAGGATGATGAGGATGAGGATGAGCATGAGGATGAGGACGGTGATGGGGAGGATGAGGAAGAGGATGAGGATTAGCATGAGGGCGAGGATGAGGATGCCACGTTCTGACCAGGGCGGCCACATTGGAGAGCTCATCTTACGATCTCGCGGTCTCTGGATACTCCCCGCCTTGGCTCTTCCCCTCCCCCTCTACCTCGTTTTCCCCTTCCCCACCCCTCACCCTCTCCATCCCCCCTCCCCCCGCCGCCCCCTTACCCTCCCCTCTCCCCTCCCTCTTCCCCCGGCCCCCCTCCCACTCCCCCTCCCCCTCCCCCTCTCCGCCCTCCACAATTTCACAATATGAAAATACTCTCCCACTTCCCCTGATGGCGTCCCAAAGATGGCGGACCCCCCCCGCGTACTGTTTTTTAACACACAGGATTCCCGGGAAACGGGTTTTCGCTTGCGTTTTTTTCCAAAATGCTGCTCTCGCTGAGGCGCTGGCCTCATTTCTGCTCCCGAATCGTTCCGAATCGTGCTCCCGCTGCAGCGTGGGCCTCATTTTCGGATCGGTGTTTGGCCTCCGTCGTTCAGGATGGCGTTCTCGCCCCAGCGCGGGCCTCTTTCTCGCGCGCCCATCCGCCCGCCACCACCGCGCCGCACCACCACCACCACCACCACCACCACCACCACCACCACCACCACCACCACCACCACCACCACCACCACCACCGCACCACCACCACCACCACCACCACCACCACCACCACCACCACCACCACCACCACCACCACCACCACCACCACCACCACCACCACCACCACCACCACAACCACGCACACATGCACGCACGCACGCACGCGCACCACCACCCACTACGCACGCGCGCGCGGAGCCACAGGTCCGCTACGACACGCGTCCGCGGATAGAGAAAATCAGCGCCATGGTAAGGGATGGGAGGGAGGGGTAGGACGTCAGATATGACGCGAGCGCACCTAGCTTGCCCCTCCCCCCTCCCCCGCCCCCCTCCCACTCCCCCTCCCCCTCTCCGCCCTCCCCCCCCTCCCCCTCCCCGTCCGCCTTGTGCTCTCCCTCCCCCTTCCCCCGCCCTCTCCCCCCCTCCCCCTGCGTGCCCCGCCTCCGCCCTCGGCCCAAGGCGGAGGAGGGCCAGGGTAAACCCACGGTGCACCAACGATGCTGCAGCAACACGCCCTCCAGTTCGGAGTCTCCTTTGCATACGTCCCTACAGGCGTTCCGTTCTATTGTAGTGGCCTCCGGCCCGTGCCGCCGGTCCGGGGCTCTCCCAGTGTTGTGATTCTACCCCCTCCCTCCTTTCCCCCCTCCTCGCGTCTCTCCCTGCGTCCCCTCCCTTCCCCGCTTCCCTCGCTTCTACCCTCTTCCCTTTCCCCCGTCTCCCCTCTCCCCTCTCTCCCCCCTCTCCCCTTCCCCCTTCACAGTAACGCTTTTTACTACGTACAAGTTATCCAGCTGCCTGCTGCAGGTCCCGCGACCGTGCCAGTCGAGCGTTTTCGGAAACAGCTGCTCCAATCCATGAGGATGATGACGGCGATGGATGGTGAGGAAGATGTTGTTCGTGATGATGTTGACGATGATGATAGTGATGATGGTCATGTCGATGACGATGGGAGGATCATGAAGACGAGGAGCAGGAGGAGGGGGGAATCGCATAATGATGGTAGTGATGATGAGGAGGAGGATGAGGAGGACTGGGGCGATATGATGATGAGGAGGAGGCGGAGAAACAGGCAGGTTGAGTGTTGCGGGCCTGTAGCCATCGTGGCTTAAGTTTATAAACCTAAGAGGTTGAAGCTCTGTATTCCCATGGCGGCGACGAAGGGAAAGGCGCCCGCGAAACGAAAAGCCACAGCAGCCTCCAGCGGCACCGCGGTGAACGACCCCGCTGTGGTTCGGAGGCCGCACGCAGTGAACGAGAAGGCTGGATTGGCTAAGCCCATAAATGAGATGAAAAGGCACCTGCGTGCCTCCGTGGGCCATTTGGAAGTATTGCATCTAGTTGCAAAAATGCCGGGCCACAGCGGGCGAGCGAGGCTGGGAATGCACTGGCGCGACACATAAGTATTACGTATCGCTGCGGATATGACGAGGGGGAGGGGAAGCCGGAAGCAGATTGGAATCGAGTGGGTCACAGTGCTCTTGGGAGCCTGGAACACTTAGAACGATGCGTGGCTGCTGCGAATGTGGCCGAACAGGTTTTGCAGAAGAAGAACGTGTCGAGGGTGCTGCGGCGCCCTGATGAAGCCGTAAAGCAGCTCCAGAAGGGTCGGCCAAAAGTTTGAAAGGGCCTTCGGCCTGTCCAACCACCGTGCCTGGGTAGTGGGCCAGAGTACTCAGGGATGCTTCTTGGGAATTTTTCGGAGGGCTCTCGGGGGGGTCACGGGGTGCACTGTTGCGGCATTTTGGGGCCTCTTGGGGCTTCCTGGGGGCCTCTTGGGGGCCTCTTGGAGCTTCTGGAGGACGTCTCGGGGGGTTCCGGGGGTGTTTTGGGGCGGTGAGCTCGAAAGGTCGGTTCGTGTCCTCCTTCTTGGGCCCGTACGTCTCGGCGAGTTCTTGTGGCCCTCGTGGGCCGCTTGGAGGCTTCTTGGCCCGTCTTGGGGCGTCTTGGGCCGTCTCGGCGCTTCCTTGGGGGCCTCTGCCTTGTTGGGGCGATCTTTGGGGCCTCCCGTGGTGTTTTCGAGCGTCGGGAAGCCGAAACGGCGAGAACGCCCAAACTCTTTACTGCAACCTAAAGAAGATCATTGAATTTTGCTGCTCGTGGCCCTCCAGGCAATGTTCTTGGAGGCTTTTTGGGGCGCCGGGAGGCTATCCTGGGCCTCTGATTGCGATATTCCTTGGGCTGTCCGGGCGGCCTCCTGGGGCGGTCTCGGCCTGGCGGAGGGCCTTCGTGGGCCAGGGGGCTGCCCCAGAAACCCGCGCGAAACACCCCGAGAGCGCCCGAGAACGCCCGGGAACGCGGTGGAAACCGGTGGTCTGGGCCCTTAAGAAACCACAATCCTGCCTGCAGCAGCTGCATGAGCCTGGGCGCACTCCACTTCGTGCCAAGGAACGGTGGCGGATATTCAATCGTGGAAGGACAGCGTCGCCAAGGCTCGGGCTGCCTTAGGTTTGCCCGGCAACGCGAGCTTTGCAAAAGGGACACCCTTGTATAATAAGGCGAGGGAGTTCCATAACGCGGCGAAGGAACGCGCTCGTGCGTGAGGGAGCCGAGGCCTCTGTCAAACGTGAGCAGAGAGTCGTCGCGACACCGCTCTGCGGCTGGAGCGACACCCGCGCTTGGCGACAGGGGCGCGCTGCCGACAGGGCGCTGGCACGGCTGTCGCGATGCCGTTTTCGGTCGGAGCGACGCCGCGTTTGATTGGAGTGGCGCTGTGCTTGGTGAGCGTGCTTTATAGCCGTTGCGTTCGCCTCCGACTGAGTTGCCGCGCGGTCTCGCGCGAAGAAGCTGCTGTGATTGCGGCGGCAATGCCAAAAGGGGCGGCACTGTCGCGCCCATATTGCTATTGTCGCCGTGGCGGGTCGTGGATAGAAAAGGAAAAGGGGTACGAACGAGCGCGGTGCGAGCGAGGGAGAGGAGGGGCAGGAAGAGGAGGAGGAGGAGGATAATGAGGAGGAGGAAGCGGAAAAGGTGGAGGAGAAGGAGGAGGACAGTGGGAGGAGGGGTGGGTAGGATAGGCAAGGAGCGATGTGGAGGGCGAGGGGAGACAGGGCAGGTGGAGGAGGGATGGCGTCCTTCGCCGTGGTCATTCGTCCCCGTCGGTCGTCATCCGTCGTTGTCGTTGTCGTCGCCGTCTTCTGCGGTCGTCGGTCGTCGGTCGTCGGGCGCCGTCGCCGACGTGCTCCCTCGCGCGCGCGCCTCCCCCCGCAGTGGAGCAGGGGGAGGAGGAAGGGCTGGAAGGCGAGGGTGAGGATGAGGATGGCGCTGTCGATGACGGTGGCCGATGGCGCTGGTGATGGTGACGATGATGATGGTGATGATGATGATGGTGATGATAATGATGGTGATGATGATGATGATGATGATGATGATGATGATGGTGATGGTGATGATGATGATGGTGGTGATGATGATGATGATGGTGATGGTGATGGTGGTGGTGATGGTGATGTGATGATGCCGATGGCGGCGGCGATGGCGATGACGATTGTGACGATGGTGTTATGATGATGAAGAAGAAGAAGTGGACGACGATCACGATGATGATTGGGTGGGGGGATAAAAGGGAGGAGGCGGAGGAGGAAGAGAAGACGGAAGAAGAGGAACTGGATGAGGGTAAGGACGAGGAGGAGGATCAACATGAGGAGGATGCTGTTCCCAATTGAAACCCTGTGGGCAGATTCGGGGCCCGAGGAGACTTGAAGAACGGCTGAAGTGTCAGCAAGAGGCTCAAAGAGTGCCTCGAGAGGGCCTACGACTTGTTGCCAAAGCTTCCCCAACAGTCGCATGCAAGGGCTAGGGGGGCCTCTTGGAACCCTCTTGGGGCCCCCTCGGGGCCCTCGTGGGGCACTCAGGCGTCTTGGAGTTCTCTCCTCTCCCAGCTGTTGTAGAGTCCCGAAGGGGCCCAAGAGGGCCCCAGAGCGCACGAAGAGAGGCCAGAAGGGCCCAAAGAGGACCCCAAGAGGGCATTCGAACCAGTTCCAAGAGGGCATCGTACCAAAGAGGACCCCAAAGAGGACCCAAAGAGGGCATTATGGCACTGATGGGGTACATCTGGGAACCATTTCAAAGGTGTGTCGGGTCCCTTCTCGGGCCCTCCGGGAGTTTTCTGGCTTTGAATCCATCTGGATTTATGCAGGGTCCCAAGAGGCGCCTCAGGAGCACCAAGATGCCCCGAGAGGATTTTCAGAGAGTTTCCAAAACAGTACCCGACGCTACGGCTCCAGGTATGATGCTGCTTGGGTTTTTGTCGGAATACTTTCGAAGCCTTCTCAGGGCGGGATCCCGAGAGGCTTCAAGAGGGGCTGCCGGGTGGTCCAGATGTTGCAAGAGCATCCGAACAGGACATCACAAGGGCTTCTGAAGCAGCCCCCTACAGAATCATACCAAAGGCCATTGGTATGATATTGTTGGGGGTCTTCTTGGGACCTTCCTGAAGCTCTGTCGGGCCCTTGTTGGGGCTCTCCTGGCGGATTCTTGAAGCACTCTCCGTGGTTTTTGAGTGGCCGAAGAGGCCCGATGAGGGGCCCCAACAGGCTCCGAGAGGATCCAGGAGGGCCGCACAGACCCGCACGAGGAATTACGAGACATGGCCACAAAGGTATCATACCAAAGACCCTGGGTATGATATTGCAGGGGGGCCTTCTTGGAACCCTCTTGGAGCCCCCCTCGGGGCCCTCGTGGGGCACTCTTGGAAGTTTCTTGGAGCTCACTTTGGGCTCTCTCTCTAAGGGTCGCCGGCGGCTCTAAGCAGGGCTCCCCAGCGCACGACCAGGGCCCGACAGGGCCCCAAGAGGTCCGCGAAGCAGCCCCCCCCCACGGTGTCGTACCAACGGCCCGCGGCACGGTACCGGGAGGCCCTGGTCGCGCCTTCGTCATCGCCGTCGTCGCTGTTCTTGTTGTCGTCATCGCCGTCGTCTGCGTGTCTTCGCCCTCTTCCTTTCCTTCCTTGTCGGCCCTTCTCCCTCTGCTTCCTCCTCCCTTCTCCTCCACCATTCACCTCCGCCCTCGTCGTCCTCTGGTTATCCCCTCCCCAGGCCTGCTCCCTCCTGCCTCCTCCGTCTTGGATCACTTGGGGGATCGTGTGGGGACGTCTACAAAACGCCTCAGTAAGTAGAAGCGTTTGTGGGCATCTACAGAGGGCCCCTCTGTAAACGGGAACGTTTGAGGGCATCTACAAAGGCCCCCCATGTCAAAACTGCAAATCGAGAAGTTTTGTTTTTTTTGGTTGAGGTATCTACAGAGGGCTCCTTTGTGAAAGCTGCAAGTCGACATTTCTCTGAATTGCGTCTCCCCCCCCACTCCCCCTACCCCGGCAGAGCCACCCCGGCAACCACCCCCTCAGTCAGAGCCGAAGCTCTGACTCTTTCAACCTCACACGCCGGATCGGCGGATTATGGGAAGTGCCCCCTTGAAAGACGAGTACCCCATGGGCTTTCCATTCAGGCAAGAGCCCCCTTGTGAAAGGGAATGGTGATACGTCCTTCTGGCTATGAGGACATCGGGGAGGTATGATCATAAAGTTGAAGGGGATGTGAGATACAATTGTAGCTGGTGCACGAAAGCCATTGGGAACCTGCCGCCGTGCCTGCATGCACCTCGAGAGAAAGGCCGCGCCCCTCCCGACGCCTTATCGGCGGGAGAAGGGGGATATGACCTGCTCTCGAACCCTGCTTCTTCTCCCCCTTCCTCTCCCCCTTCTCCTCCTCTCCCCCTCCTCCTCCCACCTCCTGTTCCTCCCCCTTCCCTCCCCCTCCTCCTCGTCGTCCTCCTCCTCGTCCTCCTCCTCGTCCTCCTCTTCCCCCCTTCCTTCTTCTTCCTCCTCTTTCGCCCCCCCCCCGCCCCGCAGGGGCAGCGGTGCGCCCTCCCCGGCGCGCTGCTGTGGCAGGTCAGCGCTGGCAGGCGCCCGTCTCCGGGCGCGGCCCTCTCGGCCGGGCCGCCAGCGGTCGCTCGGGGCCGCTGGCGGTCACCATCTCGCGTCCTGCGGTGACGGCCCGGGGGAGAGGGATCAGTAGATGAGGAGGAGGAGGAGGAGGAGGAGGAGGCGGAGTCGGGGGATGAGGAGGAGGATGAAGATGAGGAAGAGGAGGAGGAGGAGGCGGAGGATGAAGAGGAGGAGGAGGATGAAGAGGAGGAGGAGGAGGCGGAGGAGGAGGAGGCGGAGGAGGAGGATGAGGAGGAGGAGGGTGAGGAGGGAGAGGAGGGGGAGGAGGGTGAGGAGGGGGAGGAGGGGGAGGGGGAGGAGGAGGATGCGGATGCGGATGCGGATGTGGATGCGGATGCGGATGCGGATGCGGATGCGGAGGAGGAGGAGGAGGAGGAGGAGGAGGGATATCACAGCCAGGCAGAGGGTTTCAGATCGCAGCCTCCCAGATAGGGTCAGAGTGGATGCGGGTCGGAGGGTCGCGGCGCATCGCCACTGCATCGCCGATGACTCAGACCCCCTCGAGCCGTGAACAAAATGACGACGGGCGGTCTTTTGCTATTTTCGGCCTTTGGCGGCCCCCGCTGGGCCCCAGGACCGCCAAAAAGTCGCTCGGGATGAACAGCCAGTCTGGGGGAATGAGTCGAGATCTCCGGGGGTCGATCCCATAGGCTTACGCCACATCCGCCGACCCCTTGATCGTCTTGGGGATGTCGTGTTGCTGTCCTGGGGCGTACTTGTGTTGTCTTGTTTCTTTGGGTGGGCGGGCTCGAGGCTCTTCGGGGCCATCCCCGAGCGAGTCCGGGGGCATGTGGGGCCGTTCACGGGACGAATCTTACACGTCTGGAGGCCCCGAATGGGGTTGGCAGATGCGGGTTGCATCACATGCGTCCAGACACGCGACAAGGCAGTGATCCGTGGCAGTGGTGATGGTGATCCGTGGTGGTGCGGATGGTGATTGCGGTGGTCATGGTGCGGGTGATGGCGATGATGATGCTGGTGGTGATGGTGTTGATGATGAGACGCGGAGATGGTGACATGGTACCAAACAGGAGAAAGCGGAGGAGGAGGAGGAAGAGGGGGAGGACGGGGGAGAGGCGGAGGAGGGTCATCGGAGGAGGAGGAGAACGAGGAGTGACGACTTGGGGAAAATACCTTTCAACACCCGCGCCCATAGACGGCATGCGGCGGTCCAAAAACTGGACGAGTCGTTATCGAATGGGGCGCGGCGCATCCCGCCACCTTGCGCGGTATACAGGTAGGCGGCCACACGGATGGTGAAGAAGATCTCGTGCGAGGCCTGACGGGGTCGTCTTGCAGGCAGTTTTGGGGCCTTTTGGGGACTTCCTCGTGGCTTCTTGGAGGCTTCGGAGGTTTTCTGGGAGGTCCCGCAGGTCCTTGTGGGGTGTTCTTGGAGCAGGTTGGGAGCGTCTTGGAGCCGGAGGCTCGAAAATGGTGCCCTGTGGACTCCGTGTTGGAGCCGTCTGGGGGCCCTCTTGGTGTCTTGAAGGTTTCGTGGGCTGTGGTTGGACCTTCATAGACAATGCAATGGGGCCCCTTTGGCCGTCTGGGAGCGATGTTGAAGGTTTTTCCCGGAAAGGGCGCGGGCCCAGGGTTCTCTTCTAGTAGGTTAACCCCCCGGCCCCCCTGCGACTTGGGCCGGCGAAATTATTCTGCGATAAATTACGTGCGGGGGTAGGGCCGGCGGAACTATTTTTGAGGATGTCTCGAGCGAAGCGCTTGTTTTTCAGAATGTGTCGAGGGTGTCTCGAGCGAAATGCTGGTTTTGCAGAGTTGGGGATGTCTCGAGCGAAACGCTTGGTTTCAGAATTTGTTGAGGATGTCTCGAGCGAAACGCTGGTTTTGCAGAGCCGACCGCGACACGGAAAAAGCGCCCCTCGCGCAGGAATTCTGAGGATGTCTCGCGCGTGCCGCGTCCCGCGCGCAGGAATTTAGATTTCTTGGGATTTTGACACGATGTCTCGAGCGAAACGCTTGTTTTTCATAATTTGTTGAGGATGTCTCGAGCGAAACGCTGGTTTTGCAGAGTTGGGGGATGTCTCGAGCGAAACGCTTGCTTTTCAGAATTTGTTGAGGATGTCTTGAGCGAAGCGCTGGTTTTGCAGAGTTGGGGTATCGAACATGGCGTCGGGCCCAGCGCCGAATTCATGAGGAGAAGTGATGGCTTCTTGCTCTGAACAGGGGGGTGCGCTTTGGGGGCCTCTCCAGGGAAGACGTTGTGAGGATGGCTCGAGCGGGAGCGCGAATTCAGCGTATCCAAGTCACGCAGAAGGGGTATCTAACATGGCTGTCCCGAGCTGGAACCACGTGTTTTTTATGCTCAGGCCACCCAGGGAGATCTCTAACATGATTGTCCCGAACTGGAACCACGTGTTTTACGTGTCCAGGCCACCCAGGGGGTATCTCTCATGGTTGTCCCGAGCTGGCACCGTGTTTTTACGTGTCCAGGCCACCAACACGACGCTTGTCCCCAGCACGTTCTGTAGCGCGTCCCCTTGGTACGTCTCGCGGTGCGTCCCCGTGGCACGTCCCCTGGCACGTCGCCTGGCGCGTCCCTTGGAACGTTCCGCGGCGCGTCTTCCTGGCATAATTCCTTGTCAATTAGCTTTGCGGCAGCTACTTCGTGGACTATGTGCTCAGGCAGCTCGAGCTTAAGATCCATATCGGTTCGGTCAGGACTCGGATGGAACGGAGGACTTGATCCACAACGCTGTAGAGCACAATCGCGGCATGGAACATCGCAGTTCAGCACGGCGCAGCACAGCACAGCCCTCGGCACATTACATCAAGATCGGTACACTCACTCAGCATTGCAAGTTGGCACGTTCTTTGGCACGTTCCGTGGCGCGTCCTGTGGCGAACCCCCCTGGCACGTCGCGCGGCGCGTCCCTTGGCACGTCCCGTGGCACGTCCATAATGCATTGGCACGTTCCGTAGCGCGTCCCCTTGGCACGTCCCGCGGTGCGTCCCCACGGCACGTCCCCTGGAACGTCGCCTGGCGCGTCCCTTGGATTTTTTTGCGGCGCGTCTTCCTAGCATGCCCCCCGTGAATTAGCTCTGGGGCAGCTACTATGTGTTCAGGCAGCTCGAGCTTAAGATCCATATCAGTTCGGTTAGGACTCGGATGCAAAGGAGGACTCGATCCACAACGCTATAAAGCACAATCGTCACGTGGCACATCGCAGTTCAGCACGGCGCAGCACAGCACAGCCCGCGGCACGGTACATCAAGATCGATACACTCACTCAGCATTGCAATTTGGCACGTTCTTTGGCACGTTCCGTGGCGCGTCCTGTGGCGAGTCCCCCTGGCACGTCGCGCGGCGCGTCCCCTGGCACGTCCCGTGGCACGTCCATTGGCACGTTCCGTAGCGCGTCCCCTTGGCACGTCCCGCGGTGCGTCCCCGTGGCACGTCCCCTGACACCTCGCTTGGTGCGTCTCTTGGCACGTCCCGTGGCACGTCCATTGGCACATTCCGTAGCGCGTCCCCTTGGCACGTCCCGCGGTGCGACCCCATGGCACGTCCCCTGGCACGTCGCCTGGCGCGTCCCTTGGGACGTTCTGCGGCGCGTCCTCCTGGCATGTTCCCTTGTCAATCAACTCTGGGGCAGCTACTAGTTATGTGCTTAGGCAGCTCGAGCTTAAGATCCAGATCAGTTCGGTCAGGACTCGGATGCAAAGGAGGACTCGATCCACAACGCTATAGAGCACACTCGTGGCATGGCACATCGCAATTCAGCACGGCACAGCACAGCACAGCCCTCGGCACGGTACATCAAGGTCGATACACTAAGCATTGCATTTGCCCGTCGCCTAATCAGGTGTCTTTGAAACGTTGCCATGTCTTACATTTCTATATTCCTTTCCGGGTTCGTGGGTCGATCATGTTTTGCTTGTCGTGGACGTTGTGATTGCCGAGTGGGCGAGCGTGCGGAGTAATGCATGGTTTTCGAAGGTGATGGGCCGATTTTTGTTTCTTGCGACGCTCTCGGGGCGCATCATAGGTGCCTTTTTGGGGCGTCTTGGCAGCTTCGGAGACCGCCTGGAGGCCATCGTCGGCGTCTGGGGGCGCTATTTCGGCGATTCGTAGTCTCGGGGGCCGTTCGCAGAGCGTTTCGGTACCTTTTTGTTGAGTTTTGGTACCTTTTTGACGAGTTTTGGAGCCCTTTGACGCGCTCGGTCCGGGGTCCGGCCGGGTCCAGGGGGGGGGGGGGGGGGTCAAATTGCCGGTTTGGGGTCCCTGGGGGGGGGGTTAGGGGGGGAAGAATCCCACGCGCCTAGAGCCCCAGGGGTCGACTTCTTGAACAGATCATGGCCTCGGGGGTTTGGGAGGGGGGGATATCGTTGCCAGGCAAATTGTCTCAGAGTGTGTAACCACGCCGAACATTTTTCCCCGATTCAGACGGGTCCGTCCAGATCGATCCAGATTCCAGGGTGATCCCCGAGACCGTTCTTAGCCTGCTGGTCGCTCATTGCCCCCATCACTCTTCCTCGCCCTCATCCTGCATCTTCCGTTTCGCTCTCAGCTTTATGGCGTCGCCGATCCTGTGTCCCTTCGCGGCTGTTATCATGCAGCCGACGCTCAGTTCGTTGGAAGAAGCACCACTTTGGCCTCGAGCCTGGCCTTGGTCTCCGGGCCGCTCCTCGAAGATTCGGGCCAGGGCACGCGTTTCGTGGCCGAGGCTCGCCGCGGCCACAGAAAGGCCCTCTGTCCCGTACTCCGCCGTCCTTACTCAGCAGGGCCCGCCTCGACTCCTCCAGTTTTATGCGATCCGATTTCGATGGTCTCCTCCTCCTCCTCCTCCTCCTCCTCCTCCTCCTCCTATTCGATCCGTCTTGGGATTCCGATTCGGGCTCCGATTTTTTGGTCGGAGGCATACTGGCCTGCCGATGTCCGCCGATGCGACCTTTCCCGACCTGGCTGCCGACTTCCGCCGATCCGATTCGCTTCGATTGCCGACCCGACCCGCCGATTCGATTCTGGGCTCTCCTGTTATGGTTGCGCGACGACTATTCCTTTACCATTCCGCCGTTTCTCTTTGCAGCGCGGCTCCCACCCGGCAAGGCGGGGTGCCTTCCGCCTGAGCTTGTCGCCCTCCGGTCGTCTGCTGGCTGCTGCAGTCGCGCGTCACGGAGGAGCTTTCGAATTAAGGACAGCACGGCGTTAGTCGGATTGGATGGGCATTCGGCGTGCGATTGTACGCGTGTGTCGCGAGAACCTTGATTTTTGGGTGCGTGGGCCCAGTCTGCCATCAAGGTGAAGGTACAGGGTGCTATTGACGATGGGCAAGAAACATCGGGCAAGTCTAAATGGATACCTTGGTTACTCTCCTTTTAGGCCTTGGCACATGCGCACCCGCCTCCCTCGATCACATCCAGATACCCTCTCGCTCTCTTTCATTATATTTCTCTGTCTCTCTCTCTCTCTCCCTTTCTAGATATACAAATACTTTCTTTGGTTATAGTATCTCTCTCTCTCTCTTTCATTTTGTTCCTCTCTTTCTCTCGTTATCTCGCTCTGCCTCTCTCCCTTTCTCCCTCTCCTTCTTTTTCTCTGTCTCTCCCTCTCTCTGTCTCTCTGTCTCTCTCTCTCTCTCCCTCTCTCTCTCTCTCTTTATCCGCATTTTGTTGTTTTCTCTCTCCCTCTCTTTCTCTACTCTTCTACCTCTCCTCTCTCCGTCCTCATTCTCTTTTTTGTGTCCGGTTTTGCAGCATTGGTATTGTTTGTTCCCCTTTATCCCCCGTCCTTCCCCTATCTTCCTTGCATCTTTCAGTATCGAGAGCACGTGCTTTCCCAGTCAAAGCGCCCTTAGGCCTTCCCGTCGCCGGACCTTCGCTTTCTCCTCCTCCTCCTCCTCCTCCTGCTCCTCCTCCTCCCCTCTCTCCGCCTTCTCATGACCTTTTTCTCTCTCTCTCTCTCTCTCTCTTTCTCTCTCTCTCTCTTTTTCTCTCTCGCCTATATACATTTATCGGAGGTTGGGGGTGAGTCCGACGTGAAACGTAGACCCCCCCCACGGGGACGTCGATTTCGGTTTCGGGTTCGTGTCGTGCGTGCCGTGCGTGCGTGCGGGCGAGGCGAAGCTGCGTGGGCGGGCGAGAGGAAATCCTCCTGTGGCTGGGCCGCGGCCGGACCAACTGTAACTTCTCTGGCGGCTGGTGCCCCGCGGTGTCCCGCCGGTGTCCCGAAATCTTGCTGTGGCTGGGCCGCGGTGGACCAAATGTAACTCCTCTGGCGGCCGGTGCCCCGCGGTGTCCCGCCGGTGTCCCGCAGGTGTCCCGTGGTGTCCCGTGGTGTCCGGTGGTGTCCCGTTGAGTGAGATCGATCGTGAGATCGATAGTGATATCGATACTGAGATCGATGTGGTGCCCCGAGGTGTCCCGTGGCGTCCCGTCGTGTCCCGTGGAGTGAGATCAATAGTGAGATCGATTGAGTCAGATGTTGGTTCCCCCCCTCTCCCCCCCCCACAACCTCCTTATCACCCGAAAGGTGGTCGTACAGGTATATTTATATTTATATTTCTATATATATATATATATACATATATATATATATATATATATATATATATATATATATATTCCCTTTTCTATATTTTTACAATCAGGGGGGTTGGGAAAACCTCCCTTCCCCCCCCCGGGAAATCGGATCCCCGGAATCTGGCGCTTTTGGGGCCCCTTGGACGCCTGGCAAGGGGGTCCCCCGAGCCTTCCGGGCCTCCTGGACGCCCCTGGCTGGCCTTCTGCATCTCTGGACGTCCCTAATGTCCTTGCGAAGCCTCTGCAGTGGGCTAGCGGGAAGCTCACAAAACGGCCCCAGAGCCTACAAGACGCTCCAAAAGGCGCTTCCGAAGAGGCCCCAAGAGGCCACAATTGTTGATACCCCATGGTGTTTTTCGAAGTTTTTGGCTTTCTCGCCTTTTCGGCTTCCCGACGTTCTAAGACGGCCCAAGAGGCTCCCAAGACCGCCGCAACACGGTCCAAGAGGCCCCCTACACAGCCCCAACACGGCCCAAGCGGGCACCGAGACGACCCAAGAAGCGCCCAAGAGGGCAACAAGGCCCCGATAAAGCTTCAAAAAAGGCCCCAGCGGGCGACCAAACATCCCAAGATCTAGCTTTCCGGTCCACGAGAGCCCCAAGAAGGCCTAAGAAAACCCCAAGAGGCGCCCCAACACACCCCCACGAGGCTCCGAGAGGCTCCAATCGGCCCCCAGGAGCCCCAAAAAGACCCCATGAGGCTTCAAATCGACTCCCAAGAGGCTTCACACCAGCTTCCCAGAAAAGCCCGAGAGGCGTACCACGCGATCCCCACAGGCCCCCAAAAGGCTCCCAAGAGACACGCCACACGGCCATGGAAGTCGTCCAAAAAAGCCAATGGAACTTCCAAAGGGCCGAAAGCTTCAGAAGGCCCCTCAAATCCCACAGTTCCGAGGACACCCCAGAGCCCAAGGTCCCCACGGGCCCGAAAACCCAAAACGGCCCAGAAGGCCACAGAACGCCCCAGGAGACCCCCGGAAGCCCCAGGAGGCTTTGAAGCGGGGCCTCGACACAGAGCAAGAAGGTCTGGGTTACCAAAAAGTGCCAGGGGATACCTCGGGGCTCCATTTTGGGAAGATGGTTCACGCAGAAACGACATTCTCTGACGATCGGTGTCCAAAAGATGGACTTCGCAATGTGTTCTTACACGTGTCATGTTCACACTTATAAATACTATGTGGTGTTTGACCTGTCTCGCAAGATCTGCGAAAGGATTGCATTCGATTGGCATCTTTGGGGGGATGTTTTTAGCGAAACGGCCGGACAACCCAATGACGGACGCACTCGTTCCCTCTGAGTTCTACTTATTCGTGGAAGTGCGTGTGATGATGCACATATGTGCACCTTTCCCCCAACATAACAGACAGCTTCAATTTCCGTAGCCATGTTGGCTCAAACACCATTGCGCCTTCAAGGGTGAAGTCGCGGTGACCATGAGGGACTCTTTTTGGGTTTCGTTCTGGCTCGTTCGCTGCGTTCGGCAGATGGTTCGCGACAGCCTGCTCAAGAAAACGCTGCGCACCGCAGATCTGCCAAGCAGCTGGCGCGCCCTGCCTCCCAGCGCGGAGCTGGTGCCAGCCATGGACGTGCACATGGAAACTCTCACTGCCGCGGAGCTCAAGGACCCGTGTGGGCATTACATTCAACCACCCTGGTGTCGTTCAACTGGGCCCCCCCCTCCACCCCACAATTATCGACATGCACGTTCGGTTCCCTTCGGGGGGCGCGGCCTGTGCAACGCCCAGGGCGACAATGACGCCAGGGTGGTTCGCAATGTGAGTCCACGCCCACATATGTGAGGCCCTCCTTCCGGCGTTGTCGACGTGGCGCGACACGTACGTGCCCACCAGCGAGTGGAACGCGTACAACCACGCGGGGTCAACCAGCACGGCTCCTTTGTACGTGAGGAGCATCGAGGGCGAGAAAGTATGTTTGGAGTGCGCTGACAAAACGGGCGGGGCTCAGACACACATACTGAATCAGTGCTCGCAGCACGCTCGAGATAGCACGGCGCTGTTGCTCGAGTTCCTGCACTCCCCTTGCGCATTGCGCATAATTGCGGATCATGTGAACACCATCGCCGGAGCCAAGGGAGTGGTGGCAAAGCTCAACGTGGTCCTCCAGCAACACCCTGGGCACCCAGCCGACCTGATTGGCGACAGTTTCAATCCTTGGAAGCTACAGAAGAATAGACTCGCCAAGCTCCACGCAGCGAAAGCCGCGCGAGAGCTCAGAAAAATTGCCGCCAACAGCAGATGCTTTCTGAGCGCGCTCACGGAGCTCGGCCACAAAGGCGGCATGGTACCGGCCCTGTTCGCGGCGTCCGCCGAAGAGATGGAAGGGGTGCTCGCGGCGTCTCCTGGGTGGAGAAGCTTCAGAGTGAAGAATGCGTTGCGCGTTCGACAGCCCTCGTCGCGGTGCCCGGATCACGGGCGGCACAAGAAAACTCCCGCGGTCGTGCTCGCAGGCAGCGGGCCGCGCCGCGTGGTGTCCCAGCGATTGGGCACCGCGGTGTGGGCAACCGGGAAACGCGGGCGACCGGTTCGAAAAGTTGCCGTGCTTCACGCCCAGAACGCCGCCGCCATCCAGCTGTGGACCGTCCTGATCTGGCAAGCTTGAGCCACGCGCGCGAAGGCTTTCCAGGAGCACAAAGCCGCGACTCTTGCTAAGTTCAACCACGACGTGGTGCGGCGGGTGTACTCATTCTGTGAGCAGGCCACCCTCACGGATTGCGGCGCGCAGTTCGCTTTTTGCGAAGAGTCGCAATTGCTGGCTCGGCTCGGGGGCGCTGCGGCAGAAGAGGACGCAGAGGCCGGGAGTGACAGGGAGAACGTGGCAGCCGGCGACGAGCACGAGGTCGACGAGGCCGCTGCTGCTGGCGGCGCCTGACGGCCGACCACTTAATTCGGAACGCAAGCGCGCTGGGGCGGAAACAGACTTCCTCCCCCTGACACCTCCTGCTGCTGGCCACAGACTCGATTCCCGGTAACGAGAGACATCACGCGTGTGTGCGTCGCAGCAATATTCGGGAAATCCGTTGTGAGCTTGGGATTCGGTGCACTTCCCGAGAAGATCGCGCGTCGACGTTTGAGGCTCGAGGTTCGCAGGGCAAGAGTCGAGAGAGGAAGGCGCAGATCACGGTTCGCAGCTCGACTCTTCAGGTTTCCCTGTGGTTTTCTATTCTTTCGGGGCCTCCGCTCTCTCGCCGCCGCGTTGCAGGGGCCGCTTCAAAATTCAGTTCCAAACGCAATCCTAAATGGGCTTGCCGCACTTCAAGGCCAACATGGATGAGGCGAACAGCCATTTATGCTCGATTCGAAGGACCAAGGTGCATGGCGCGAAGCGCCAATGCAGTCTTGTATATATATGTATATATGTCTATACATCCGTACTTTCTCTCTCTCTCTCTCTGCATCTCTACCTCCCCTCTCTCCGCCCTCATTCCCTTTTTGGTGTTTGGTTTTGCAGCATTGCTACTGCTCTCTCCTGTTTATCTCCTCCTCCTCCCCCTCTATCTTCCTTGCGTCTTTTAGGATCGAGAGCGCGTGTTTTCCCAATCGAAGCGTCCCCAGGCCTTCCCGCTGCCAGACCTCCTCCTCCTCCTCCTCCTCCTCCT